AGTGCCAAGGATATATCTGCAGCCATCCGGCCTTACCTCTCCACCACCTGCACAAACCCAGCTTGGCAGTCGCCCCCGCACCCCCACCCCCACCCACCCTCTAGTGCTTTGCGACTTAATGACAGGAATGGAGGGGAGGGGGCTGCGCAGTGCGTCTCACCCCCTGCCGGCCCGAAAGGGGGTGCCAGGAGGGTGCGCCCCAGAAAGGCGGTAAGGTTCAGAGTCAGGGCTTACAGAAGGGGAGGGGGTCACAGTTCTCTGATCAATAGACGGAGAGCCCAGAGGGGTGTACCCCCAAAATAGGGGCCCAGGCTCTACTCCACACACACCGCACACCTGTGTCTCCCACCCTCCCCGGGTGGGCCATGTGAAGGACGGCTGGTGTTTGCACCCCCCTTTCCTGTGGGCTGGGCCCTGTTGAGGGCAGGTGGCTGATGGGGACTCGAGCAGGACGGTGAGGAACACTGAGACGGTGGAAGCAGCGCCGAAAGCTTCCATCATGCTCCTGGGGATCGGGGTGCTGTGCACGCAGCTTGAGACACACTGTGCAGGATGGGGTGAGCCGGGGCACATGGAGGAAACAAAACCACCCCTCCCCGCCACACGCCACGTTCAGGCCCAGCTCACGGTGCTGGCCGTCTGTCTCCACCACTGACCGGGGAGCTCCACCCGGCCTCACAGAGGTCCTCGCGTGAGCACAGTGGGAGATGGCGTGCATGCAGGTGGCACCCCACCGCTGATGCCCCAGGACATTAGGAGGCGGGGGGAACCCTGGGCTGCACAGCCCCTGGCTGCCTCTGTGGGTACGGGCATCCTTGACCTTCAGAGCCTGGCATGCAGAAAGCAGGACCTGACCCGGCTCAGTGACGATGCTAAGCCCATACACTGGCAGGAAGGGAGCAGATATCAGGCACCACAGTGGCTGGCCATCCTGCACCCCAGTTCCATGCCACAGGCTGGAGGGAGGGTACCACCTTCCCACGGGGGTGCAAAAACGGTCCCGCGCTTCAGGAGCTCCCGGCAGGCCGGCGGGCAGCTGCCACGCTATTCCATGAGTCTCTTGTCTGTGAAAGGGGGTAGGGGCTGCGGTCAGTTGCGGGGTCTGAAGGGTGGTCCTTGTAGGTGAGCTGAGCCAGCCCAGCGAGTGGGAGGGCACGTGCAGTCAGGGGACTTTGCAGTGCCGCTGGGGGAGGGACACCACACACACACACACACACACACACACACACACACACACACAGTTTTCCTTTCTCAAGGGTATGGCAGGGAGGACAGCCAGAGCCTCTGAGGCTGCTCATTAAATGTAATTGTGTCCTCCACATCTATCCGAGCCCCATAAAGGACCTCAGAGCGAGACAGAGCACCCAGGTGTGAAGGTCTAGGCCGGCGTCAGGCGAAAGGCACCGCAGTTCCTGGCTCGCCAGGTGGAACCACATTTTTCATGTACGGAGCTGAGCTCCGTTCATGGGCCGTTTGCCCAGACCACCGTGGCCAGCTCTGGTGTGATCTGGAGGGTCGCCCCCCCGGGAACGTGCCGGGGAAGTGTTTAATGCCGTGAAACACCCAGAGTTGCTTTGAAATGGAGGGGAGCATGTGATGGATAGAACGGGGTGGGGGCAGTTAAATGGGTAACTACAAGAGGTAAGAGGGACAACAGTTAACCTCAGCCACTGTCCCCCACTGGCTAACACTCAGCACCCAGGCCTGGGTCTGGTTACCGTGACCTCACCGCCCCCGTTGCCGGCACCCTCAGCTTCACCTGCAATGCTGTCTCACTTGGAGGCCCCTCCGGGGCGATGGCTTTGCGTCCACTCCACAGAAGCCTTGCTCTCCTTGGCGTTGCTCTGAAACCCTGCAGTCGGAAACACACACTTCATTCCCTCCCCCTTCATCTGTGACCTCTGGACCCCAGTCCCGCAGGAGGACAACCCTGCTATCCCCACAGGGAATTACTTGGGAATCAGGGAAGTGGCTGGTTCCTAAATCAAGACGCACGAGCTCCTTACTAAAGATTTCTCTTTTGACGGATGCGTGGACCTTGGGCGCCTGTGAGCTGCAGCTTCTGGACGGGAGTGGGAATCGGTGGGTCCTCTCTGAGCAACAAGGACTTCCCCTTTTTAACCTGTGTACCTTTGACCGAAACCTGAAAATCCAGGTCAGACCCCGCGGGTCCTTTGAACCCTATAATGTCAGCGTACGCCAATGGCTGTGCCAGCTCATTTGGCTTTGGCACTGTTTTTGCCAGACAATGGCTCATGACCCGTCAGGAGATGATGAAACCGGTTGGCCGGCGGCAATGAGCATTTCTAAAAACTCCAGTGGGTTTTAAGATGCCAGGAGGTGCTGCGTGGTATTGCGTGAAGGGGCTTTTGTTTCGTTGAAGGTACGTGCGTGCGCGCACACCACACACACACACACACACACACGCACGCACACACACGCACGCACACACACGTGCTCACTGGCAGTGTATGCTTTATGTCAGCAGGAAGAAGGCACTTGAAACTGAGCCACTAACGGGTGCAGACATTAAGGGGCCTGGGACAGCCAGCCCACTCCCCACAGTTTGGGTGCAAAGGAAACGATAAAAATTCATGATGAAGCAAACTGACCAAAGGACGTCTTTCAGCGAGGGAAGGTGCCTGGTGAGCCCAGTGGGCTGGTTTTCATTTTAGCTCCCAGTAGCATTTGGAAACTCCTGGATAAGGAGGGGCATGGGCTTGGGGCAGGCAGAGGAGAACGGGCAAGGCCCCCCAGTGACCAAAGTGTCCTGCGTGACTAATGGAAGCAGGGAAGAGTCCCTCATTTCCGGATGTCTGTCTGAGCAAGCGTTGGCCGTGAGCCAACATGGAGGTTGGTGTGGACCCCAGGTGAACTGCTGTCTCTAGGTCGGTTTATTGAAGAAATGTGTGTATTTTCCTGAATGTACTACATGGCTTTGGAGACAGTTGGGATAGGTCCAGCATTTTATATAGAAGATGGAATCTCTTTCAGGAGAGATTTTGGACATTGTCTTTCTCTGGCTTGACTCGATTGCCTAATGTAATCCAATAATAATTGCCGCGGCCTCTGCTTCACTTTGAATGCAAATTATATATATATATACAAATGCTCCACCTTGTCAAGCTTGTGTGGAGCAAGGTGCATTTTGGGGCCTTGTCACCTGACGTGGAGCCCATTGAGACTTGGTCACGTGTTCCAGTTGCAGGAGTCCACAATTCATTTTCATAAAACTCCATTTGTAAAGCGTCCATTTGCTCTCAGAATCTATGGCTGGTTCGTGTGTACTTAAGTGTGTTTGGGTGTTGGAGTACTGAAACTGTGGTTATTTTCCCTTCTTGATAGATTTTGATGAGACGGTGGTGGTGATGGTGGTGGTGATGGTGATGGTGATGGTGGTGATGGTGGTGGTGACGGTGGTGGTGATGGTGGTGGTGGTGATGGTGGTGATGGTGACAATGGTGGTGGTGATGGTGATGATGGTGATTGATGAAGAAGATGACGGCGACGGTGGTGATGATTGGTTAGGTTAAGTCTACCTGTTGACTGAAGCAGAAACAGGCTTGCTAATTTAGGCAAAAAAATAAAAGCAAATGATAAAACCAACAGAAGCTAATGGACTAAAAAATGGATGCTTTCATAGCAGCAGGATGTCACCTTGAGGTTCAGAGAGCATTTTCACCTCTTGGCTCACGGCTCCTGCATTTTTTAGTCTCTCAGCCGTGTTATCTTGAGGATATGCCCTTTTGTTATTTGTTGAAATCAAAGTTGATCTGGAGGGGTCCAGTGGAAAACAGCTAAGGTTTTATGTACACGTTCTTAATACACATAAACTCGTATTTCAGATTCACCACATTTTCATCTGTGACCTGAAACATTGAGGCTGGAGGGTCTTGTATGTAAAGGGAAGCAGATAGAGCCAAGGTGCCTTTTAGAACGGGGTCGTTTTACAGGGAAACCTCCCTCAAATTCTTGAGGTAACTGGTGTGTTCCAAAAGAGAGGGGCCTTAAACTCGGGGAACTGGAAAGGTACGGATGACTCAGCACAGCCCGACACATTCAGACTTCAGCAAATTTTTCTTCCAGTTTATTCCTGCCAGCGTGGGTGAGTGACACAACTATAGGACGTGCAAGAAAAGGAACATTTTTCTGGTAAAGGAACAGGCAGAGGGGTCCATCCACCATGGCTTCGAACGGTTCACAAACGTGCCCAGACAGAGGTGGGCAAACTCACGGCGTTCCTTCGTGACAGTGGGCCTAGGACAATGATTGTATATTCTAGATGGCCTACGTGGCTTTGTCTTTATTTTAAATGATGTTTTCATTTGGCTCATGGGGCGGGGGTGGGGGAATCCTGACATCAAAAACACCGGGGCAAACG